TCCAATTTCTCATTTTTGCTTGCATTTGCGAAATATTCTCTCTTGTAGTCATTTCTAACGTGTATGAATTGACTATTGTACTAAAGCTCAGAACATTAATTTCTAGTACCATCCATTTTGACCTCTCCGGTGGCTTAGTCGGAGCTTCGCCTCGGATGCTGGAGGTCGCGGGTTCGAATCTCGGCCAAGCCCAACCAAAGATGTAAAAATGGGGCACGAACAGCTGCCACGCTTGGCGCTCAGCATTAAGAGGTTAGTGTTAGGACTGGTCAGCCTGGAGTCAGGATAATGTGACTGGGTGGGACATCATGCTACATGTCTGCGGCATGATGCCTCAGAGCTAGATATCTCTATATACTGTCACACTGCAGAATTCGTTGTGATATGACTGAAATATTGTTAAAGATACGTTCAAACTAAATGTAAAAAGCACATCCGCACGCACACACACACAATGCCATCGGAAATTTAAATATTTTGCAGGACCTATATATGAATTCAATTTATGCTTTACGTTATATTTGTTTTAACCCTTCACTCTTCACCCAAGATTTAGCTAGTAGTAGGCGGATTTCAGCTATCAAGATAATATTATTACAATCCAGAGGTCTTTGCTTGACCGAGCGGTGTCAAAACCATGATACGACTCCCGCGCACGTCATAAGTTTCATCCCAAATTTTCAAAGATTTCCATACAACTTCAGTTGTAAATTAGAAATCAAGACGTGTCCAATCTATATATAAATTTTACTCTAGTCAATGCATGCCAACAGATTTCACAACATGCCAAATATCTGTATAGTTGCTCTTCATCAAGTCTTCGTACCGTCAGCAGTTCACGTCGTAGAAACTCTGAATTATTTGAACTTCGCCGCCTTAGGCTTGTGAGTCTATGGTTTCAAGTAACATCACGTCAATGAAACTACATCACATTTGCCAGCAGGGCGACATAAACGGTATATTTCGAGTCTCTTCTTGTTTATTCCATTGTGTAATTTTTTTCCGGTTTCCTACCGTACATACTACCACTGCAGTCACAACATTAAAGCAACTACTAGATTTGAATAGGGACTACATTATGACAGGGACCGTCATGCGGTTTGGGTCTGAATTCACTACTCATTGACCATGGCATCATGAAAACACACTAACACTTTCCGTGACGTTTGCTCCTATTAATTGGCTAATTTTTTCGAGATAAGGAATATTTTCATTGCACCAAATTCCAATAACCAAACAAGTAATCACACAAAAATATAATAATTTCTTAAACGGGTACTAAAACAAATACGCATCTCTAAAATTTTATTACAATACATTTACTAAGCGTTATGCCTAAACTAAATAGAATTCTATTAATTATGTTGTATAAAATGCTTCTCTGCACGTGCATTGCACTGTGTAATTACATTTTCATTGAATCAATCTCTGGGAAGTCCACTATATCCTCATTCTCTTGTGTAATTGCTATAAAGTGAGATGGTTTTAAATTTATTCATTATTTGTCAGAAAATATCAAGGCTCTAAATCATACAAGTAACTTGGCTGCACATTCGTGTCTTTTGGAAAATGTACTAAACCATTTTATCAGTAAACTGGAGACTTCAAATACAGTTTCGTTCTTTGCACAAAAAAGTGTTGACGTCAGATTTATTTAAGACTAGATCTAGATCACAAATTGTGTATGAAAGGTTGTATTAAATAAGTAACAAGGAGTGCAACGTTCATCAGAGTGATTGTTACGTTCGCACGGGTTTTCGATGCATTATATAAGGATCTCTAGAACTAATTTCGGGGCGAAATTGTGTTGGTTTTGTTAATTTCTCTGAGCAAGGTATATGCTCTGTTTTTCATTCTAGCAAATATAGCCGGATTGAAGAGTTAATTTGTTATTCTAATTTATTATTATTCTGTTAATTTTACTGAGTACTTCCACCTTTTACTGTGTCATGCTTTCATACACTTTTTTTTCTGTATCTTAGTTTGATTTCCTTTGTTAAATATTCCGTTGCAAATTGATGTCGGAAAAATGGTCCTTTTATTGTTTCTTCTCAGTGATAACGATTAACATGCTAATATTAATCGTATTTTATTTAAAGATTTAGATATTGTTGCATCACGTAAACGCATAATTTTATTAAATTATGACACTTTTCTTCCACCTGTAAACTGATTATGAGTTTAATGTTTTTTTCCTTGTTTATCGATGTTGAAATTGTCAGATGCCAAATCACACAGCAAATAACGCCTGAAGTTCTTTATACTTTTATGTATTTGTTATTGCTGTTTGTTAGTTTAAAAGGTATTTCCCGTCAGTTTTATAACCTTTTTAAGCATACAAATTCTGTTTGAGAGGGTCTGTTTTTTTTAACTATTTATAGAACAGGTGCTTCTACATCCGCAATGTAATAGTTACGTCGACATCGAAAGAAAAATTATACCAATGGTAGGCTATCTTAGGCTTTAAACATTTCACAACACAGTTTTAATTTTTTTTATCTAAGTTGTCATATGTGATCTGAGTAGAGGTTCAATATTTATAGCAAAGAATGTGTTGCTTTGTTTGACATACAAACGTTTCTTTAAATATGTTTCCGTTTAGGATACCTACAGGGGCTACTTAAACCGGAAATTAAGACTATCGATAAATGATTATAGTGAGGGGGTCAAATAGTCAAACAGTGCAGGACATCAACCATAACAGTTACGATGGGAAATAGCGGGAATTTTACTCCCAGCCCCACCCTCCATATCGTAACGATCAAGGTCGGCATCTTACATTGTACGACTGTGAATCGAATTGTTATAATGTTAGTCTCTGAATCCCCTCCATTTACTTACATTTTTAAATTTGTAACGAGTCACAGTGAATGTACAAGATAGACCCAATGTTCTTGGCAGATAGAGTTTCCAAGGTGTAATGTGTCGACTTTTGAAGAAGTGCTAAATCCTTTAAATAAATAGTGCATTAAAGTTATAATTAGTCAAGCCAAAAATATCTTGAGAAAATTCATTCTAATATTTTTCTTATTTCATCTCTGAAACATAAAATGGCCTACGTTTAAGCTTCAGTGGAATTGACCCAGTCATCGTAACGGTATAGTGGCAGTTGGTACATTAGAATTACCGACCGCATTGGTTGGAGGGGAACTTATATCAAAAAATTTATCTTCAGCGTAAAGCTAATTGCACCATATTCGATGCTGTCAAAACTGACTAAAGACATGACTACTTTGGAGAAAATTTAGGAAAAGTAGTTTTTATTGGTCAGTTCAAATAAAGTGTACACTTTAGAAAAATGGAGAATTTAATTTAGCGACTTGGCTCAGAAATTCTTTAGTCCTAATTTTGCTTTAAACAAATCAAATTTGAGGCTCCTTGGGAAACCTGAGAAAAGAGTTTTCGCTCTTTAACAAAGTAGAGAGGCCAGATAGCTGTCTTGATACTAAAAGACAGGCTATAGTGCTAGGACGAACGATTGTGTGGAAAAGAAACAACATTAAGGCACGCAATATTAATTTCCATGTACTTTTCTGTTTTGTTTGATTGGTTTTATGCAAATGTTTCTAATATGCTTGTGATCCATGCATGCAATGTGTATTCAGTTTCATAGAACTATGATTATTTGTTAGAGTGTTAAGCAACATGATTCTTTAATTTCACAGTTATTAGCTCATTGATAAAGTTGAAAGATTTGTGATGTTATCCAAATATTATGTGTCAAATCTCGTATGGTTAATTAATTTCCTTTGTAGTATGATACTGTTATCGTGAGTGAATTTGTGTGTGTGTATGTGTGTGTGTGTGTGTGTGTGTGTGTGATTTTTGCAATGCATAAATAATTTTATAGATTATTGGTAACTGTAAGCTAGAATTTAGTTAATCTTATACGATAATAATCGAATATATTTTTTTAGTGCAATTGGCTAGCTTGGTAATTATGATCAGGAACATTATTCATCGGTCTGAGTTTAATGGGCATTGAACTCAATTCAAACTGAACTTAATTGAACTCATTGAACTTAGCTTATACTGAACTTATTTGAACTCTTTGAACTCATTTTAATGCGCATTGAACTCAATTTAAACTTAACTCAATTGAACTCAGACCGATGATAATGCTCCTGATCATAATTGTAACAAACTTTCCCTCCTAACTTTGGGACCTCTTCGGTGGCATAGTAGTTAGAGCGTCTTCCGTATTATGCTGGAGGTAGCGGGTTCAAACTCCAGCCGAGCCATATCAAAAAGACATATAAAGATGGTACTAACAGCTGCCACTCTAGGCGCTCATCATTTAGAGGTTAGTGTTAGGACTGGTTGCCTTGGTGTCAGTATGAGATGTGACATGATGCTGAATGTCTGAGGCATGATGCCCCAGTGCTAGATTCCACATTAAACTGTCACACTACAGACATCGTAGCGATATGACTGCAAAATTATTAAAGCTACGTTTAAAACCTAAATCACACATACAGACACACATTCCAGTTTATCTTTGGATGAGGACTAATACCCTTTGTGTGTGTGTGTGTGTGTGTGTGTGTGTGTGTGTGTGTGTGTGTGTGCTTAAATGCTTAAAGTCCAAAAAACCCAACAGTTTATTTAAATTATTGTGGGAGCTGAACAGAATTAGTACTAAAATTTTGTTTTAAAAAAAAGACATTGTACGATGTCATATATAACCAGAAAATGCAACTTGTACAAAGTAGAGGCATAATCTATTAACAGTTTTAATAATAAATTCACTGTAACCGTGCCAAATTGTTATTTTTTTATTTTAAAATATATTTTTTTCTTGTTCCATTGTTCGAATATGACTTGGTGTATAATATTTTAATGTCAAGACTTACACCTCTCTTTTTTTCTTTCCATTTTTCTTTCCTTTATCTATCTATCTATCTATCTATCTATCTATCTATCTATCTATCTATCTATCTATCTATCTATCTATCTATCTATCTATCTATCTATCTATCTATCTATCTATCTATCTATCCGCTCCGGTGGCCTAGTGGTTACAGCGTCCTCTTCGAATGCGTGTGGTCGCGGGTTCGAACCCTGGCCGAGTCATGCAAAAAACTTCTTAAAATATGATTCTAACATACCTCGCTTGGCGCTCAGCATTAAGAGGTTAGTGGTAGGCCTGGTTGGCCTGGTGTCAGGATAATGTGACTGGGTGGGACATCATTCTACATGTCTGCGGCATGATGCCTCAGTGATAGATATCACTATTAACTGTCACACTGCAGACATCGTAGCGATGTGACTGAAAAATTGTTAAAGCTACGTTAAAGATCGTAATCACATCTCTTAAAGCTACGTTAAAGATCGTAATCACATCTCTCTCTCTCTCTCTCTCTCTCTCTCTCTCTCTCTCTCTCTCTCTCTCTCACTTTAAGAGATAGTGAGAGAGAGAGAGAGAGAGAGAGAGAGAGAGAGAGAGAGAGAGAGAGAGAGAGAGAGAGAGAGAGAGAGAGAGAGAGAGAGAGAGAGAGAGAGAGAGAGAGAGAGAGAGAGAGAGAGATTGTGAAGTGGACGAGAAAGACGAGCGGAGATGGAATTGAATACAATAGAGGGACAAAGGGAAGTGTTATTGTGGGATGGAGGTGAATATGATGGTCAAACAAATTTGACATTTTATTTACCCCAAATCACTTTAATACTTTGCATGAGAATAACGGATTAAAAGTAAAAGCAATCTCGATTTAATTAATTATCTTTTTGAAACAATTAAATTTAAAATAATTAAACGTTTAAACTCTATTAAAAATATACAGATCGTGTATCTGTCATTACCGTCATCTCTTCAACATACAATCGCATGCAATCAATTTAACCTTAAAGGTCTGTGTGTATGCGTGTATGTGTGTACGTGTGTACGTACGTGCGTGTATGTATGTATGTATGTATGTATGTATGTATGTATGTATGTATGTATGTATGTATGTATGTATGTATGTATGTATGTATGTATGTATGTATGTATGTATGTATGTATGTATGTTTACATACAAATGTACATATACAAATGATCTATTATTATCGAAAGTCGCCATAATTAAATATTTAAAATAGATCCATAGATCTGTTATTCAATACTTTACATGTAGATTATTAAACGATAGTAGAAGATTGTTCTAAAATAGTAACATAGTTATATCATGATCCTCGCAAAAAATAGCATCACAATAGCAAAAGAGTGTTGCCCTTCAACTGTCTTTAAATGTTTTTATCTCCACATTCACGTTTTAGATGTTCCTCGCGAGTCAAACAGCCACAGCATCTGTACGGTCCTTTTCGCTTCAGTGCTTTCGGAGCTTCCAGAGACCCCCGTCCCAGGAGTGTTGGACTGTTCGGCCTGTTCCACAGACTGTAAAAAGCAGCGATATCTTTTCCGTGGAGACTCCCGTCGTGTGAAACTTTCTCTGTGCTCCCGTTTTCAATTTTCATGGCCGGTAATGAATGTCTCCTGATCTCACTTCCAGAAGGAGCCTCCAAGCGAGCGGCATAACAGTCTGCTATGGCCGATTTCGGCCGTTTAAGATCTTTTCTAGAAACAGAGTTATTACTCTCTATCACGTGTTGGCATACGTCTTCATTCTCCTCCGAGGAAATTTTAATTTCTGGAACTAAAACTCTCCTCGTGTCCGTATTGGATTGATTCTCGTTATTAGATGTTAAGTGTATAGATATATTGGAATTGTAACGTTGTAATTTATCTTGAAGGTTCATTCGTTCTGTGTTATCTACTAATTGAACTTCACCTCCCAAAGACTTAATTTGGCTATTTTCCTGAATACTGTCTACACAAACTGACGAACTGAATTTATTCCCAATGCTTGACGATCTTGTCCTTGCAGCATTTGATTCATGTTCTCTCTTTCCTCGGCCCATGTTGAGAAAATCAGCCAGTCCTGTATTCCAATATTAAAATCACAAGTTCCGTATTTGATTTAGCTAATCACGTAATCCTACAGAACTCTCCTGAATATGTACATTATATACCCGTGTATACCCATGGTGTTGACAACTATCGTATTATCAATGACGTCACTAAAATGCTTTGTAGCAATCATGACTCTTTGAATGTTATTGCAACTTAAACTATTGTTTTAATTTAAATAGGGTGCTTATTAATAATAGACAAGAGATGCTTTGCAGGTTCGTGTATTATTCGTAGGTCTTTTATGGCTATTCCAGAAGAGTCGTCTGCCTTATCTGACAAACTTTAGCCTGTCGATATGCTCGACTGGGGATGTTCTAGTTATCAGTATATCTTGCTGGGTCGCATTTTAACTCGAACTTGATGAATGTACGGTAATATTATGTTGTATCAGAACATTTCTAAAATGTGTAGTGCTTGCGTGCGCGCGCGTGAGTGTGTTTGTGATTTGGATTTTTAACCTAGCTTCAACAATTTTTCAGTCATATCGCTACAATGTCTGCAGTGTAATGTGTGGCAGTTCATAGTGACCTCTAGCACTCTAATACCAGGGCATCATGCCGGAGACATGTTGCACCATGTCCCACCTGGTCAATTCATTGTTCTGTGTTTTTCTCTGGCTTTAATACTATTTTGTTGAGTGCTAAGAAATTCGAGTCATCAGATATTATTTATGCCACTTAAAAATACTCCACATGTGCAATGTCACGTTCCACGCTGATTACTAAATGTCCTTGTATGCCTTGCTTGCCGAAGATTATATTAGTACTTCAATAAACCCATATTTCAGATGAATATATTGTCGTCTGTGATCCATGATAAGATACAATAAAAAAGAACAATAAGCCGTACCTATTTTTGGAAACAAACAGGTTGATTTTGGAATAGAGTAAATATATTTGGCCACATCAAGGTATGTATCGTGTTTAGCTGGAACAAATAACTAATTGTTTGTGTCTCAGGCAACGCAATGTACTAGATTCCAAAGAAATAGCAGGAAAAATATTCTGCTGATGAAACACGTTCATAAGAAAACATAAGCATAGACCATAAGCATAGCTTTTGGTATTAATCGATCTTTTTGGTCTACATCATTATTATTCCAATGATAAAAATGAAGGTGACTCGCTCAAGCATAATGGTACACGTTTTAGTTGGCCAAATGTTTTCTTAATATTTAAAATGTATTTTTATTTTTGTAGTCAAATCAAACAGCGTAGAGGCAATGTGACAAATATGAATTGATACCGTGGAACACGTCTTCAATGAACTTCATGGCAAACAGGACAAGATGCTTGTTACGACGCAAAATTTGTTCTGAAACATTACAACCATATAATAAATAAATAAATAACATTGACTAAAATAAATCTGATGAATTTTGTTTCTTTTTCTGAGACTTAAAAGTTAGTTACTACCGATTTACACATTTACAATGATTTGTTTGAAAGACGCATTGAATTACCAATATTTAAGTAGTTCATTTTATGTGGTTTATCAATAATGGGTTATTGGTTCAGGTAATTACACCAAAAGTATAAATAATTTTAGTTTCACACAAACCTTAAATTGTTTTCCCATTTTCACCTATAATTTCGCTAATCTGGCAGTTCTCATTTGAGTATCATGCTTTACGTAAACACAAATTGGATCAATTTGATTGTTAAAAATGCTACCGTTAGTTTCATGGACTTTGTTCTGAACATAATTTCTAAATTTCAATTAAATATTTTTCCTTTGCACATCACTGCATTTCGTGAAAATAAACCTTTACTGTTCTGGGTGAAAATTACCAAGATGAAAAAGATGAAATGGAACTTGCATTTATTAAAGATAATTGATGGGGACCAAGGAAAATTTTATAGTGAAGTTATGGGGACCTGGCATCATTTAGTAATGAATTTATAGGGACCTATCATCACTTAAAAATAAATTGAAGGGGGACCTGACATCATATAATAATGAATTGACGGGGAACTGGCATCATTTAGTAACGAATTGATGGGGACCTGGCATGATTTAATCTTGAATTTGTGGGGACTTTATGTCATTTCATGGTTACTTTAGGATGGTTTTGGAGCATATAAATTGTGTGTATGTAAGTTATTGTTTAATTTCAGCTTCATTCAATATTGGAGAAACAGAGGTTTATCTGACCCCTTGGCAATAAGGTGTGAGATGTTGTTCTCCATTATTTTTACCCAGTTATATTCTTCATCTTCAGGTACTGCACAAGACCGAGGTAGTCGAGAAAAGGTCAGTGTAGAAGATGGAACTTTTCTGCAATTGAGCTACCGCTACCCGTTTATCATGTAGTCCAATCAGATTCTTTGTATTGGTTTGGTCGCGAGCGTAGCTATTGGCATTTATCGATCGACCAGTGAGATCAACCTGGTTTTTAGATACCCTACGCAGAAAGACATCGTCGTTAGTGGGACTGCCAAGAGAGATAAATGTGAAATCCTATTCATTTTTACCAGCCTCTCATAGCAGATTATATTGCGTTGTATAAATTATAATTTTTTACGTCACACTTCTTTAGCGTTTATAAATATTAATTATGTCATTTGAAGTTTTCTTTCATTTATAATATCAGCACGCGGCATCATTTGAGATGTGGACATTCTGTGATACGGTTTTGTCCTTGCCTTAGTGATACGGTTTTGTCCTTGCCTTAGTGATACGGTTTTGTCCTTGCCTTAAGAGATCAGGTGCCAATAAATACAGCTGAACTTTGACCCTAATCAATTTTTTTTCATTTGATTTGGAGATTTAAAGCTTTTCGACGCATCATCCGTGGCATCCACTATCAACCAACTTCATCTAATACTTGTTATCTTACGTATTTGCATCAATTTAATTTTTATTTCATTTGGAGTTTGAAAGCATTTCGACGCATCATCCGTGGCATCTACTATCACTCAACTTTCGGCTGTTTGTACTTTTATTGTTGTGCACCAGAAACCATATCTAATTCAAATTATAATCCCTATAATAAACGTGTAGCTAAATAAATTTTGACATACGGGTACTGACAGGTATCTCTCGCAATGATCTGAACCACTCTCTCATTGTAATTTGCTTTATTATCACGACAACTGAATGCGGCAACAATTGTCTCATGACA